GGACCTAAGTCAGGAGGGCCAGAAACATCAGGGACAGAGTCTCTTCTGCAGATGCATCAGACCAGGCCGCCCAGAATTATGATCCCTGATGCGAAGGCGGAGACATCACTGAGGCCACGCCTTCATCGTGTTCTTAGGGTTCGGGGTTCTCGTAGTCTCGATGATTTCTCTCCCTCCACAACCACATTCAAACACCCAGGCCTTTGTACGGTTTCCAGCCCTCTTCCTCCTCCCCCTCCTCATCCTGCTTCGAAGACTTCCCCCCCCTCTCTCGTCCTATTGGGCTAAGGGGTTCTTCCGTGCTCGATGAGAGATGCCAGACAATCTTTTTGACGGCCCCGGGGCCCAAAAGAACGGCCCTGGGAGCCGGAGGCGACGATGGAAGAGAAAGCCGCCAGGAAGGCCCCTCCTGCCCCCCTGCCGGTCGCGCGGGCATCTCCCTGGCCTGCCCCGGGGGACGTGCGCCCTGGCCGGCACCTCGAGGGGAGTTCCGGCCGCGGCACCCGCAGGCGCAGAACACCTCTCCGCAGGCGTGGGGGGCCTTCCGGAGAAGCCCGCCGCCTCCCGAGAAGGCCTCCTCCTTCTCGCTTCCCCCCCCCCCCTCGCTCGCCGCCGGCATGCCCACGCATCCGCCGATATGTTTTTTTTCTAACCCGCGGCCCCAGAAGTCCCGACAGGGGAGGCTGAGGAGGAGGAGGAGGACGAGGAGGAGAAGGAGGAAGAGGAGGAGGAGGAAGAAGAGGAGGAGGAGGAAGAGGAGGAGGAAGAAGAGGAGAAGGAGGAGGAGGAGGAGGAGGAAAGAGGAGGAGAAGGCGGAAGAAGGCGGAAGAGGGTGAGAAAGAGGAGGAGGAGAGAGGAGGAGGGAGGAGGATGAGGAGGAGGAGGAGGAGGAGGAGGAGGAGGAGGACCAGTGTAAACCCAAGAGTCCTCAACGGGGGTGGGTTTTTCCGTCCAGGATCCATCTTGGATGGCCCCTGGGCCGCCCACGGGCCCCGGAGACCGAACTCTGGGGAAAAGCCGCTGGATCGACAAAAATCAGGTCCTCAGATCTCTGGGTGCTCTCGTACAGTCGGGGCGTTGACCTAAGGAACCCTAAATAAGGAAGGAGGCCCCTTGTTCCCATAAGTTAAGTTTTGCTTCCCCATGGAAAACGAAAGGAAAACCCAAGAAAAACTGTACAACTATCAAGGAACACAGAGCCCCTCCCCAACGAGAAGGGTTTCTTCTTCAGCGCCCCGACTGCAGAGGCCTCCTTGGACGAGGTCCTAGCAGATCTGGGCATCGCTCGGACGTCCATTCCCCGTGTTTTTTTCGGTTTCGTGCGTGTTTTTGCGCCAGATGGTCGAGGATGCTCCTCGAAGGGCCTCGCCGAGAAAAAAACGCACACGTCCGAGCGATGCCAAGAGATGGGGTCGGAGGATTGCACCGTGTCGCCGGTGCATCGGCGACGCATCGGTGCTGCATCGGCGATGCCTCGGCGGTGCCTCGGCGACGCCGGTGTGGGGAAACACGGGCTCCAGCCGCATCGTCGGTGCGTCGGCGGTCGGCGATGCGGCGCGATCCTCCGACCCATCTGCTGTGACCTCCTCCGGGAGGCCCAGATCTCGAAGCCCGCGGAAGTGCATGCACGCGTGCGTCCTCTTGTCGGCGGACCGGCGCCCTGCTCGGACCCCGGGCCGGAGCCCACGCGCGCGCGCTGGCAGGGGGGCGAGTGCGGGAGCCCCGCGAGCTTGCACTCGATGCGCCGCTGCCCCGCCAGCACGTCTGCGAGCGAGGACAGCACCTGGGCAGCAAGAGGGGGGGGGCCGCGCTCCGGCGGCTCGGCGGCGCGGGCGGCTCACAGGAGCAGGCCGCTGCTTTTCTGGGCCATCCTGTGGTGTCGGGTCCTCGGTTTGGAAAGGCAGCGCCCTGCGTCCACTCCTTTCTTCCTCCCGCTGCCCGCTCCTCCCTCACCTCATCCTTGCCTCTGCCCTCCGCATGTCTTCCTCCTCCTCCTCCTCCTCCTCATCGTTATCAACCCCGTTCCCAACTCCATCGCCACCATCATCATCATCATCATCATCATCATCATCATCATCATCATCATCATCATCATCATCATCATCATCATCATCATCATCATCATCATCAGCATCAGCATCAGCATCACCATCAGCATCAGCATCATCATCGCCATCACCGCCAGCATCAACACCATCATTATAATCATCACCATCACCATCACGGTCACCACCACCACCAGCACAATAATCATAAATATCAACATCATCACAATCACCACCACCACCATCTAGCAATCAACATAATCATACTCATCATCATCAGCACCATCAGCACCATCAGCATCATCATCAGCGCAATCATAATCATACTTATGTTTATCACCCACGGCAGCATCACCATCTGCATCACCCTGTAAATCATCATCTTCATCATCATCATCATCATCATCATCATCACCATACTCATCACCATCAGCATCATCATCATCATCATCATCGTCACCATCATCATCATCAGCATCATCATCGTCATCCATCATGATCTGCATCGTCCTCATCTGCATCGTCATTCTCATCATCCTCGCCTCCACTAACATCACCATCACATTCACCTTCACCTTCACCTTCACCATCACCATCACCAGCATCAGCATCAGCTTCAGCATCAGCAGCATCACCATCACCATCACCATCAACGTCATCATCGTCATCATCATCGTCATCGTCACTGTCATCGTCATCATCATCTTCACCACTGTTACCACCACCATCATCAGCATTAGATCCCTCTCCCTCCTCCCCAACGTCTCTCTTTCCACAAACCCCTCACATGTTCTGTGGCCCCAAGGCGCTTCACCGAAGGCCGCAGCGGCAGGGTCCGCATGGCGGCGTCGCATTCATTTCGGCAACTCCCTCGCGCGTTTTGTGGCCCCAGAAGGAGCTCCACAGAAGGCAACAGTGGCAAGATCCGCATGCAGTTCCACCTCCAATTTCGGCGCATCCCTCACACGTTTCGTGGCCCCACAAGGAGCTCCGCTGGAGGCACCAACGGTGGGGTCCGCGTGCAATTCCACAACGTATTTCGGCGCACCCCTCAAACGATTCGTGGCCCCAGAGGGAGCTCCACCGAATGCCCAAGTGGCAGAATCAGCATGCGGCTCCACCCCCCATTCCGATGCACCCCTTACGTACACGTTTCGTGGCCTCGTAGGGAGCTCCACCGAATGCCTCAGTGGCAGGGTCCACATGCGATTCTACCTTCCATTCCGGCGCACCACTCACACGTTTCGTGGCCCAATCCAGGGGTCCGCATGCGGTGCCACCCCCTATTCCGGCGCACCACTCACACGTTTCGTGGCCCCATAGGGGGCTGCACCGAATGCCCCAGTGGCAGGGTCCGAATGCGGTTCCACTCCATTTCGGGGCACCACTCGCAAGTTTCGTGGCCCACAGGGAGCTCCACCGAAGGCCCCCAGTGACTGCGCGGCGCTGCCCCATTTCGACCACGAGGACGCAGAGATACTTTTTTGGTCTGCGGGGCGAGAGCGAACCTCTTCCGGTAAAAGCTAGGACGCACAGACACATGAGGACGAGGACGGGGAGGAGGATGCTCAAGGGGACGAGCAGGCCGCGTTCCCGCCTCAGGGTAATAATGCCAGCGGGAGGGCGAGGGTATTGCTGTCCCCTTCCCCCCCAACTCCTCTCCAGGGCTGCGCCTGCCTCCTCCCCTCCTCTCGTCCTTATCCTTTTTCTCTTACCCATCACTCCCCCTCCCCCTCATTCTCCTCCTCCTCCTCCTTTTCCTTCTCCTCCTCCTCCTCCCCTTCCTTAGCGCCGCATGTCAAAAACAAGGAGAAGTGTGAAACGGTTGGGGAGGAACTACTGTACGGCAAGTTCGTGTCGTGTCGACCCCGGCGTTTGTTCCTGACACCGCGGGGATCGTTCAACCTTGAACGATCGGCCGTTTCCGAAACGTCCCAATCGCTCCACATCGAACGATTCTGGGTCCCCCGCGGCGTTCAACGTTGAACGCCGCTGGCGGGGTCGCCGCCGGTCGACACGACACAAACCTACCGTAGGCGCGAGGCGGCGGCGCGCGGGGCTCGCGCCGAACAGTGCATCTCCGTGTGAGCCCGCGTCCGCTTTTCTCTTCCCATGCAGACAGACAGACAGACAGACAAGCAGACAGACAGACAGACACCCAATGTCGGGCAGCGCCCGGCCCTGCGCGGGGCCCGGGTGGATGGCGCCGCAGTGCCCCAGATGGACTCGTACACGAAGCCGTCCTCCAGGTCCGCCCACGACTCCATATTGCAAGCGCGTGTAATCCAGACCTCGTCGGGTGTATCATGACCAGCATCACGCAACAAGTTGCCCAGATCGTCCAGTCACCGCAGCAATCTGTTGGCTGGCCCCCTTATCCTTCTCACCTGCCTGGTGATGCTGGACGCTGCTTGTGATTGGGTCCTTCGCCAGGATCATGTCACGTCGCGGCTGAGGTCCTGGGCTTGCGCCCCGGTCCTCACCCCCTGCGGCGGCGACAGCGCGGGCGCGCGCGAGTAGGAGATGGTTGCCTGGCGCGCTCCCTTGTCCCTCGCCCCTCCGCCTCCCTTCCCAACCCCCCCGACGTCGCGATTTGTTTCCTGACATGACCCCCAAGAGCCTGGACCCCTCCCCGGGGACGGTTTTTCATTCAGCGTCGTTTTTTGACGGTCCCGAGGCCCGGCGAGGGCCCCTGGAGGCCGAAAGTAACGAAAAACCTCCCACCACGATTTTTTCACGACGCGAGGGGGTCTGGGTTCCCAGACCCCCAGGCGTTGCGAAAAACAGCACGGCGCCCTTTTGCGGTGCAGTCTCGGTCTCGGGGGGGCGCCCTCGGGCCGCAGGACCGCCGGGGAACGAGCCGACACGGGCTCACTGGATCGAGGTCCTGGCCGCCCACCTGGTTCCTGGCTCCTGTCGGCTATTGTGTGTTCGTCGAACGCAGCCTCCCCCCCCCCCCCGGCTGGTCGGCCCTCCCCCCCCCAGGGCCTGTCGGCCCTGAGGGGGGGGTGATCAAACTGGGGCCAAATGACCACTGCTCCAGGGGCCACCAGCGACACACGTGGCCCCGTGTGGGGGGGCAAATTTTAAAAGGTGAACAGACAGGAGGAGGAGGAGGAGGAGGAGGAGGAGGAGGAGGAGGAGGAGGAGGAGGAGGAGGAGGAGGAGGAGTAGGAGGAGGAAGAGGACATCCACCTCTGCTTCCTCCTCCTCTTCTTCGACGCTTTGGGGCGGTCAGGCGCGGGCGCGGCCGTGCGGGCGCGGCCGGGCGGCCGCCAAACCTACCGACTCCCTTCGGGGGGCACCTTCGCGCTCTGTCGTGGCCCCCACCCCCCGCCGCTCCGCCCCCCCCCCCTCTCCTCTCAGAGGTCCGATGTCGTGATTTTTTCAATGCGGGGCCCCTGGACGTCCCGACCCTTTACCCCGTGTCCGTTTTTCATCCCGAATCGTTTCTTTACATCCCCGGGGCCGGGCGAGGGCCTCCAGACGCCGAAGGCAGCGAACAAAAACCTCCGTCCTGCTTCTTTCACTATGCGTTGGATCATCTCTGGGCCGTGGACCCCCCCGCTCTTCCTCCTCC